TATTATTAGTTCATTCTATTCCTCTCCTCATTAGTATTATCATTCATTGATTAAGAATATTATTATAGAATTAGTATTATCATTATGATTCATTGTTATCATTAGTATTCCTCTCTTTTTGTTACCTCAAAAACATTTCCTAATTGATTCCTTCATTCAACATGCTGCAATCGCATCAAGCATAATATATTTGAACTACTAGGATTCTCCAATTTCATTCCCCCAATTTAGCCTGTTTCAAACGAATAATTTCTATCACGGAGGCATTCCTTTCCAGAAGGGAAATGAATAAAAATTTAAGCTGGAACAGAAAATATTGATTTGGAAATTAGTTGTGGTTCGTATCTGAAATGACATGAAGTGCGCTGATGTCTCTGTGGTCGGATCTCGAAAATCAGTTCTTTCCTATTGTTTAAAAATATAATATCTTACTTGAGGGATAAATTTTAATGCCATTTCATACTTTTCTGAAGCACAAAATAAAATAATTTTTTAAAAAATATTTTTAAAAACAAAGTAAATAAATCTTCATGAAACTGATTTTAAGAGGTATTTTATAATTTAATAGTCATTCAGAATGTATATAGATTGTTGAAGTTCGTAATATTAAAGAATATTTTCATTTAGCAGCTTTGAAGCATCCAAATTCTCTGCAAGAAAAAAACTGTGATTTCTTAAGAGGTATTGAATCATATATATTTGCAATAATTTATGCTGAACGAATTCTTTCGGATGACTTAGTATGTAACGTCAAAGAATTTGAAACTAATGAAATATCATAAACGTATTTTTATAAACTTTTCTAAATTCAAATTGTTCGTAGCACTCGTCGACTGTTACAGTAGAAAAAAAATTCATACTCATCTTTTATAGTATATTAAAAGACTTACAGTTCCCCAAAAGGCACCCATTGTTTTACTTCCACAATTAATTTAGGTTTGAGTAAATATGTCATATAATTAAGGCAAATATCATACGAGGGTCGGGTTTTTTTTCAAGCTCCGATGAACCGTAAAAACAATAGTAGAGGACAAAATGAATTTACTACCAAAAGTTACGTACAAATATGGTTACTTTTCGACATAATCGTCGTGAAGATTCAGGCATTTGTCATATCGGTAGACCACCTTCGTCAAAGAACGTTGCCGCCAGTGATGTGAGATGGACCTTAACGTCGCTTTGAAGCTCCTCTTTATTCTGGAAGCTTTGGCCTCCTACCGAGTTCTTCGAAGCTATGATAATCACTCGTCGCTATGTCGGGGCTATACGCCGGGTGTTCAGACACGTCTCATTTAAACTGCTCCAGAGGCTGCCGGGAACTCGTTGAACAAGATCTTCTGTTTTGACGGACTTCCGTCCTTGTCCCTGTTCGTCATGAACGTCGGTTCGCCCGTCTTTAATTTGTTGCACCATTCATGCACAAAACCATCACTCAAAACGTTTTCACCGTATATTCGTCTCATTAATCGGTGAATTTCTGCTGCACTATTTCCTTCTGCTTGAAGAAAACAAATAGCACTACGCAACTCACACTTGGCGGAAGCATCAATTCTACTAGCCGACATAAAATTAAAAATGCCGACAGCTCAGGTGAAAATCGCGAACTGATATCGGCAGTAGAAGACATTATTGTTAGAAACATCTGCAATCGCCTACCGTGTATCCCAACATCCTACCACCTGTCTGTATGTTTTGTGGTTGAATTTCGGAGGTTGAAAAAAAAGAACCTCGCAGTATCTTAAGAACCAACCCTCTTTGAATGCAGATAATATTCCCTCTAAAACTTATTTCACTGCAGGTATTTCGACCTAGTCCTGAAAACTCCCTGATAACATCCTGTTGAAAGTGATTATAAATTAATTGCCAGATCACAGTCCGGGGCTCTGAAATAATGTAAATTGTGTTTACTTTTTCTTGATATTTATTGAACAACATAAAATCATTAGTAAAATAATTTTAAATGAACACTTGCTTATTTAACAAAATTTAATTGATTCTTATGATTTAAAATGTGAATTTAAATTCCATTTTGTTAAGATACAGGTTAGGTTAGGTTAGGTTATATTAACGTCCCGTTTTGAAGCAACACGAGGGCTATTTAGGGACGGACCTCGTAATTTTGAACCGCGGTCAGATGACGAGGACGACACCTGAGCTGGCACCCCCCTCTCCAAACTTCCGCGCCACACCAACGGGAGGACGTTTGGCCACTACGTATGATTTAGCGTGCAACAGGCCCCATACACGGCGGATCTTCAGTGGAATCGGGTTTCGAACCTGCGACCCTCCGGCCCCGAGGTCGAGACCTTACCACTAGGCCACCGCGGCCTTGTTAAGATACAGATTTTTATTAAAATTCCATTACTTAATTTGAATCTAATATCACATATTATCGGTATTTGCTTTTAAGCATTCTTGATTTTCTCAAAATAAATTTAGTACTTAAGTTATAATCCTTTTGGTTTCTTTCATGTATATTAGTAAAGCGGATATTAATAAAGGTTCATATTTTAACAAAATTTTATAATTGAAATTTCTTGTAATCCTAAACAATAATAATTATTTATAGATAGTTAAATAAATATCGATATTTTATTTTGTACAATTGATTTGCTTTTTCGTAAGTAATACATCTCCACCCAAATTAAAAAGAGTTCGGTCGAGATATGAACCCGGGACCTCTCGCAGCCTAAGCGAGAATCATACCCCTAGCCCACCGAACCACGACTAAAGGCTTCATGATAGCAAATACGTTCATATATTATCACGCAATATAAGCTTTTATCGTAAAGAAAGTTTTTGATGAATCAGTTGTCATGCTTACATTTCAAATACATAAAAAAACCCGCTCAATTTTAAACTCTTTTCCTAATTTGTCTTTTTCTTTGTTTAAGCTCTTATCTCAACATTGAAGTTTATGAATATAAGTTAACTCTCAGCACTAATGAATATATTCTGTTGGATCTGAACTTGAAGATTTCGATTTATAACTCATTGAAACAGTGAAAGAATACGGGGGAAAATTAATAGAAGTGACTTTTAAAAAGTGCATTGCAAAAGCTTTAAAAGTATGAAATAAAAGTAAAAGTTAAGATGTTTAGTATATCCTTCTGTATATACTAAAAACTATTTTTTAGAACGTGCTTTATCACAAAGAACTTACGTGTGCTTGAAAGTATTTCTCACTTGTGTTTGTCCTTTTCATTTTCTGGTTTCCATCATTTATTATTTGTATTAGTCATAAAATAACTACTTGCTTTGAACTATATATGAATTCCGGTATGTATTAGGATGGATGTGCTGGGATATATGTATAAAGCATGGATTACAGGATTCCATCCTAATTTTGTTTCCGCATATGCGACATTTTCAGATTCCTAAGGGTAGTTATATCTGTAAATAAAACGAATAAATCAGAAAAATAATACCTGTTTAAATGAATAGAAAACTTGAACATAAGAAACAATTCCGTATATTTGTTTTGAAAACAAATGTGAGTTCAAAGATTCAATAACTTTCTTATTTTCCATGGCGGTTACCGTCTTGACTTGGCGTGCAATGTAAGAAAGCATCGCTAATTAAAAAGCTTGCACTCATTAATGGCTCGTCATTTCAGAATCTCCGTGTACAACCTAAATCATCTGAGTGGCGTTTCCTATCGCACATTCATGTGTGATTCTGATCGTTTTTTGTGCTTCCGGCTTCCTTTAACAGCTTGTGCACTCAATTTTGTATCACCTTGTAAATTAAAGGTGATAATTAATGCGTAATTATCTTTCTATCATTTGAAATACCATTCTTACATGTTTATCTTATGTTTTGGACTTTCAATTGGACTCACATTTTTTTACTAATGTTCAAGTCAAAGGACAGAAGGGACCAGACCACAAGTTTTCTGTATTCTCGTGCTGTTGGAACAATACTTGAACAGGCCCTAACAATGTGAAGATTCTTCTCTTGAGTATGGGTCGCTGGTTAGAAAAATGGATGAACATGATTCTCGTGATGTTTAAAAATATTTTAATTAGCTTTCCATCGACGACAAATAAAATTTTGCATCATTCCCAATAATTTTTATACTATTTATAAATTTTATAGCATAAAAAACCCCCTATATTTTCATGTAATTTAAGTCTTCTATTCAGAACTAGTCTAACGGCAGAATATTTACAGCATTCCAGGTTTACGGCAAGCTGTCTCGTTTCCTCGTAGCATTTTCATGAGAGCGGCATCACTGCTTAAACAATAATCTAAACTTAATCAATCCAAGTACATTCTGTGAAAAGAAAGAAAAATTATTGAATTATGTAGTAGGGAAAATCGGGTAAGATGGCGACCTTAAGCTTTGGGGATTTTTCCTGACCTTAATATTCGTTCCTGAGGAGTATTATTTCTGCAAAATCTTCTTCAACTCTTTATTTTAAAGTGATATTTTTTAAAATTTTTATTTTTAAATTTAAGACCCCAAAATTTAATTGTATTTTAAAAAAGTAATTTTCGCCATCTTACCCTCACAGTCGGGAAAGATGACGAACTGAGATAACAATTTAATTCAACATCCATATGCTATCAAAAAACTATTTAAAACTGTTGATATCATATCTTGATCATAACAAATTGTACATGACAGAAAACAAACATAATCGGACTAAAGTAACAGCACAAAACAAATGAAATACTATCGTTCGAAACTTGAGATTCAAACCTTAGGATATGAGTTTAATTACAAAAAACGCATCGCTATGGGCTTGAATTTTGTTCCAGTCAGTACAGGTGGAATGGGGCCAGAGCTTGCGCATAAAACATTGGAATCCCAGTTCGGTTTTTCCTTTCTCACTGCAAATGATGGATCCTTCATTATCCAGGTCGTCTGGGTCCAGATTGTCATCAGCGTCAACTTAAGGAAATTCAAATGAATTAATTGAGTTTTCTGGCTCAGAACATTAGAAGTCGAGGTGTTACTTAGCTACTTTCTTCTTTTCTGAAGAAGTTTTAGCAGGTTTGTTGCGTTTATACTTATTAACTTCAGTTTTCTTCAACTGTCACAGTTTTCTTTTATCTTCTTTTTCCTCTATCTCCTTTTTTAATGAGATGCTCATTTTTCACTGGAGTGCCAGTGAGTTTCAGGAAGGGCAAATGGCAGTCAGGTAGCAGGGTGAGCTCAGGAATTAACTCTGAGGGGTTTGTCATCTAACCCTCCGCCTAACTTTTATTCTTACCCGACTTCAGCTTTTTATTTAAAAAAAAGTTGAAGGATATCAGCTCATCAGAAAAATTAAAATAATAGATGATTAAAAACGTTTTGATTAGTTCTTTACAAATATCACATGTATAAATCAAAAATATTTATCCCGTGAACGCTATCACTTACCTTTGCGTAGGAACTACTCAAAAACACATTACCGCATACTGTGAATCACGCTAATAACTAGGTGGAATCTTTTGGTGCGACACGGGTAGCTGGTCACTATAGGTCTCTGATGATTCAGAATTTGGGCATTGATCTAGGGAAATTTTTGAGAAAAATCCAATCCGTCATTTTACACTTACGTCTTACCCGGCTTTCCCTATCTATTCAACAGCCACTGAAAATGCGCTCTTCTATTCTGAACACATAAGTAAATCTTGTTTGATAGAGGTCGCTGGATTATTTTCCTAAAATGAACAACAATGAACTCAATTAATGTAAAGTCATTTTCATGACCTATAACATGTAAGCACGAAATTCATTCCTTTTGAAAACGTTTAAAAATACGAAATTGATCCATCTGAATACATAATATAAATTTCAAAAAAATTGTTGACTGAATGTTACTCTCCAATGTCAACCTATTATAACTTTTAGCCTCATAAAGACATTTTACGTGTCATTTTTGTCTCACATATTTATAAAAATGGTTAATGACATTTATGATAGTTATTAAGAGGAAATATTATGACTAGTTTAAAATCGAAAAGGTGGTTATTCTTAAAGAACTGCAATAAATTTTATTTTATATATTCTTTATTTTGTATTTTTTTGCTTTTATTTATTTATTTTGTTTCTACATTTCTTTTGCAAATTTTTTATTGCTAATATTGGTTCATCCAGAAATAAGTTTACCGGAGGCCGTGAAGAGACACAAATTATTATTACCTGGAAACATTTATTGAAACACATACATCACTCTTTCAGCAACCTCTTAGCAAAATATCCACTGGAAATGAAGCATGTGTCATACCGTGAGACAAATTTCTGTACACCGGTTTCGAAGAATTTTGCCGCTGGGGAGAAGAGTCAGCCTGTGACAGCCGTCTGTCTGTATATCGTCGTCACTAGGGAAATTCTACTGTGCCAGGAACCTTTTCAGATGCTGGAACAGATGTTAATCTCTGGAAGATTGCTCCACGACCAAGCTCACCCTCATGCGACGCTGCGTACACAACAACTGCTGTAGCGGTTCCGCTGGGAGGTGTTTGACCATTCCTCTTGTAGTCCCGATCTTGCTCCCAGCGACTACTATCTGTTCCAGCACCTGAAGTGGTTCCTGGCGAAGCAGCATTTCCCCAGTGACAATGACGTGCAGACAGACGGCTTCTACGGCGGTTCTTACGTTGAGAGGTAGCTGAAAAAAATGGTATACCTGTTTCAATAAATGTTTCCAGGTAATTATGCTTTGTGTCTTTTTACGGCCTTGGGAAACCAAATATTTCGCATTCAGACTTCTGTTTTCTAGCACAGATTTTTTTTTCATTTTTTCTTCAATATATTTAATACACTGTCATTACTGCTGATCTGAATAAGGGAAAAACTTTCACTTTTAGGATAAATGCATGACCTGCATGAGTTCATTACAGTTCAAGTAAAAGTTTCGAAAACAATGTAACAATAGCTTCTCAAAGAAGTTTCATTTGCCCATTTAAATAATAACCAATCAGGCATTCATTACTACACAACTAAAACTCCAGTTAAATTGTTGCAGAAATTCAGTGCTTTCTTCTAGTAAAAAATTATTTAAAACTAAACATTTGTTTTCGAGATTGTTTTGAAAAACAATAACATACATTTGTCTCTGGTTTTGAAAAATTAAATCTTCATTCTTCCTTTGTTGAAACTTTTCATGCAATTGGTCCCTTCTTAGCCATATTTCATTATACTAAATCTTTCTCTAATTCAAATAAATATCATCTATCATGGCAAAAGGTTTTATAAAAAAGTGCCATGATAAACATTTAACATAAAAAGTTCATTGCCTTTCATCGTAATTACTCAAAATATTACTTAAAGATTTTTTTGGCAAGAAAGGCTTTTAAAAATTTCATATGCGCTTTTAAAAATGTTTTTCGCTCATTAGTCATTCTTTTACATCAATAATTGTAATTAAGTGGTGGAAAAAATAAATTGTTCCTTTTTTCATTATTACCGAAATCCGAAGATTTGCATGCGTTAAAAAATTCCATTCAAGAAGGAAAATAATTATAAGAAAGCGGCAAGAAAATCAACTGGTATTTTTTATATTATTCTCGAATGATAGAAATTCTGTGGGGGCTATATGTAAAACAAGTTTATTTTCCATAAAGAAACATGATTTAAAAAAGTAAGAGTGCGTACAAATTAATATAAAGCAACATAATGGAGTTCAGTAACCTTCTTTATTAGAAATAATAAGAAAATGTTTTCTATTTATTTTCAGTGTTTTACATATCCTTCTAGATTATGAAATGTCATCGAACCGAGAATATG